CACTACCCCGGCCCCACGGGCCCCCACAGCCCCTCCCAGCCACATCCTCCCAGTGCCAGTGCAACCGGGCAATAAACCTTTTACTGCTTCAGATCATTAGCCTTGATGGGAAGAGCCACTTCCACACTCAGGCAGCTCTCCATGCTCCTGCACCACTGGGCAGGGATATCCCCAGCCCCACCCTGAGACCAGGGATACCTCAGATACCCCTCATGCCCACCCCAGATCCCATGGGCTGACCCCCACCCCAGCCCGGGATCCGTCAGCCCCCACTGGCCAGAGCCACAGCGTCACCACTCACCTCTGCCTTCTCCAGTTTGCTCTGGGCCTCCACCTGTGCCACAATCTCATTCATGTTGGTCTCCAGCACCATCCCACCAATCACCATCTCCTGCAGGATGTGGTGGACCTGTCAGGGGGGCAGGGAGGGAAGGGAAAGCTGAGAGCCTGACCCCAGCCCGGCAGCAGCTGCAGCACAGGCTGAAAGTGTGTCAGGGACCAGCACTTCCCTGAGGGACACAAATTCAGCCCTGTCCCTGCTCAGCTGCCTGGAGAGCGAGCCCACAGTCCTTGGCACAGAGACAGTCCTGCAGCCCCATTTATCCTCTGTAACAGCACTCACTGGACCACCAGGCACAGGGAAGACCCTGGAATGGCCAGATCCAACCCATCCCACTGGCACAGCTTGGCTGCTTTATCTCTGACACCTCCAGTGCACAGAAAATGCACAGAACTGTCATGCGAGTCTGCTCCTTCCCTAGGGTGCCCTGGGTCCAAGTATGAACAGCCGGGGGGCTGGTGGTACAACAGAGTCATGACAGGGAAAGGGCCAAAGGGCAACTTGTGAGTTGCAACCCCAGAAGTCCCAAACAGCCCCGGGGTGGCAGCCAGGCCAAGACCATCCTCAACTGTGACTCCTCCTTGGCTCCAGTGCCTGGCTCAGTCTGGAGTTCCCTGCGCAGTCAGCAGCTCCCAACGAGCTCCCAGCACAGATAATGGATCTATGGGTCCCTGTTACTTCCCAGGAGCACGGTCAGGTTATGAGATTGTTTTATGGCTTCATGATTGCTGGCTGCACTTATAAACACCATGTGGTAAAGGCTGCCAGGGCAATGCTGGGAAGAATAAAGATGATGAGACAACATGCTCCAAGGCGGAATCCCAGCTCCGTGCGAGATCGAGGTGATCCCCTCGAGGTTCCCCACAGGTTCCATTCTGCTCCAACAGCCCCTGGAGCAGTGAGGTGGTTGGGATCAGCACAGCATGGGGCGAGCCTTGGGTAACAGAGCAGCTCCCAGGACCCCACAGCCCTGAGACCCCCATCCTGCAGCCCAGCCCCAGCACACACCATGCCAACCAGAGAGAGCAGCTCCTACAGCCCAAGAGCATCTGGGAACATCAGAAAATGCTCCTTCAAGACCTGGCTTCAGTCCAAGTTGGCCCAAACCCAGCGGGGCAAAAATCCCAAGCAAGCTTTGTTTTCCAAGCCAAAGCACAGCACTTCCTGAGTAATCACTCCCCCTCCGGGACTCTGCAGCTGCTCACGCTCCCCTCCAAGGTGGAACGCATGACCAGGACCTGGGAAAACCCACCCTGAGCCTCCCCAAGTGACAGGGAGCCCCTGCAGCTCTAGGGCTGGGGCTCCCAAAGCCAACAGCTAAAAGCACTGTCACCACTGGTGCCTGACCTATGTCCCCATCCATCCCCATCCTGCAGCAGCTCTGGTTCTACAGCCCCTGTGCTGCAGGTAGTGAGTGCAAGGTGGATCTTAAGACAAAGAGAGGAATCACAAGACACAGCCAAAGCTGCACCTGAATCCCAGCAAGCCCCTGCCCAGGGGGACACTCACAGCCAGCCCCTGCCCAGAGGGATTGCTCACAGCATCCAAGCGGCACAACTAGGGCCCAGCAGGACACACCAGCACATTCCCACCACCCCAAACACTGTCCCTCTGTGACTAAGCTCCTGGAAGCACAAGAAATACAGGCACATCCAAGAAATAAACACATGCCAGATATAGAAAGAGACAGGAGGACCAACTGATAGTTGCCAAGGACTCAAGTCAAGGCTGGGAAGCAGCGCGAGCACAGGACAAGAAGTAAACAAGGCTGGAAGAGATGGGGGTGACTGAGCTGGGGTCTTCCCTATCAGAAACCCCTGATTCCTGTCTCCTGAGAACATCCTTTCAGGCAGGAGAGGTCAGAGGAAGGGTGACTCCATTGCTGCTGGCAAAGCTGACAGGGAGTGGGGTGGTCTGCCCTGCCTGGGGGCTAAAGGCTGGCTGTAAGGCTCAGTGTAAGCTGAACGTAAAACTGTGTGTAAGGCTGAGAGTAAGGCTGCCAGGTCCTGGGCACACCAGTCAGCACCTGTGAGTGCATCCAACCCCAGCTGTGGGCAGAGGTGATCTGGACTGCTGCCACCATTTCTCCTGCAGCTGCTCCTCCCTCCTTCCTCCTTTGCTTCCTCTGATAAACACAATTGCTGACAAGATAATCACATTGGCATTTCAGAAAGTTCACTGCCGGGCAAACAGTGAAACCAAAGCCTGACCTCAGCACCTGGTAAGAGTGTCCTCCCAGTCCTGCTCACTCCCCATCCCTGTGACCCCCAGTCCTGCTCAATCCCTTCCCTGTGACCCTCAGTCCTGCTCACTTCCTTCCCTGAGACCCCCAGACCTGCTCACCCTCCTTCACTGCCAGTTCCTGAGTTGGAATCATCAACAGAAAGGGAACATTTCACTCCGTTTTTCCCACTGCTCTTTTTTGTTGAGTCTCTTTTGAGTGTTTTGTCTTCAGCAAAGCAAGAAACCTTTGATGAACAGCAATGCAAGTCCAGCACACTCAGCCAAGCCTCTCCCTGTTCCAAGCCTATTATTCCCAGCTACCTATTTCCAGCTATCTTCAGTCCCATCGAGGAGACATAAAAAGTGATGGGTCTCCACCCAGAAACTCAGACCTGCTCAAGACATTACAAGCCGTAGCTCAAACCAAAGTTTACCCAGCACTTTGAAGTCCAAACACTCCCATTTTTCCTTCACTTTTCTCCTTGCAGCCGTAGTAAAACGTTAACAAGATTCACAAGGGATGTCACAGCTCGGAGCAGAGGCAGAACACTCCGGCACCGTGCCAGAGCCCTCCCAGTTCCACCAGTGCCAGTTGTGGAGCACAGGTCCCTGTCACCCGGCACCAGCAGCAGTCACCACAGCTGGGCACAGTTCACCTCTGGGCTTGGAGCAGCCTAGCACTCGGGTATCTCCTCGCAGGAACACCATGTGAGGTGTTTACAAAGCTCCCAGGCTGATAACTTCCCACCAGGATCTCAATCCCTCTCTCCCCGAATTGACCTCGAGGTCCTCATGCTCTCCTGGCTGGCTCCAGCCTGCAGGAGCACACAGGCTCTGGAGCAGCTCAGAGTCACCACCCACCTTGTCCATGTGGAAGATGAGGTCCAGCTCACAGACATTCTCAAAGCACTTGTCCAGCGTCTCCACAAACACCTGGGGTGGCAGAAGGGATGGTCAGCACAGAGACCAGGCAAGATGATCACACCAGCCCCATGGTGTGGGGCAGAGGGGCTGGAAAGCTGGAAAAGGCCCTGGGGTGCTAGTGACAACAGGTGAGCATGATCCCAGGTGTGCCCAGGTGGGCCAGAAGGCCAATGGCCCCTAGATTGTACCAGCCACGGTGTGGCCACAGCCCCATGGCTGTCCCCTGTGCTGGCACTGCTGAGGCACTTCCAGTCCTGGGGGCAGCTCTGGGACCCTCACAAGACATTGAGGGGCTGGAGCATGTCCATGGAATGGAACGGAGCTGGGGAAGGGGCTGGAGCAGCAGGAGCAGCTGAGGGACCTGGGTGGGGCTCAGCCTGGAGAAAAGGAGGCTCAAGGTAGACCTTCTCCCCATGTTCTGGTGCTTAAAGGGTGGCTAAAAAGCTGGAAACTCCCTTTGCACAAGGAGCCACATGGAAAGGCACAGGGTGATGAGTACAAGTTCCTCTTGGGAAGATTCCAATTAGATGCAATAGCAAAGTTTTTTATAAGAAAACACTCATCCACTTGATTAGTCTTTCAGAGCAAGTGGGGGATTCCCCAACACTGGACACTTTTCAGATGCATCTGGCTAGAGTGTTGGGCCTTGTCTAGCCTGTGCTTTGCCCAGAAAGGCTGAACCAGATAACCCCAATGTCCCTTCCAAATACAGATTCCATGATTCTAGGTTGGACTCGATGTTCCTAAGGGCCGTTTCCACCCTAAATGATTCTATGGTTCTGCTTTTTAGTCATCCATTTGGGTTGGCTTTTCCCCTGCGGCTTCCAGCTATGTATGGGCTCAGAGGGCACACTGGCCACCCCTCCCCACCACACTGCCCCCTTCCTTCCCCCCACATCTCCCCCTCCCCACTGCAGCCCCGGAGAGGCTTCTCAGGCCTTCCAGAAGGGCTGTCACAGGGCTGTCACAGGCATGAAATGCAGCTGACAAGTGTCGGGGTGGGGCTGGGCCCTGTAGGGACGCACCTGGATGAGGTCCAGAATGCCCAACTCA